TCCTTCCTTCCTTCCTTCCTTCTTTCCTCTCTCTCTTTCTTTCTCTCTTTCTTTCTTTCTCTTTCGACAGAGTCTAACTCCATCACACAGGCTGGGATGCAGTGGCGCAATCTCAGCTCACTGCAACCTCTGCCTCTCAGGTTTAAGTGATTCTTTTGCCTCAGCCTCCTGAGTAGCTGGGATTACAGGTGCTCACCACTATACCCAGCTATTTTTAGTAGAGATGGTATTTCACCATGTTGGCCAAGCTAGTCTCAACCTCCTGACCTCAGGTGATCCACCTGAGCCTCCCACAGTGCTGGGATTACAGCTGTGAGCCACTGCATCTGGTCAGCTTTGCATTTTCTATGCAGCGTGTGGGCCCTGCACCACTGGCTTTGGCACTGCCTGGCGCTTACAGGAAAGACAGGACCGCTGGCCTCATCCCAGGCCAGGACCGCTGGCCTGCAGCTCAGAATCTTCATGTTAGCCAGATCCCCAGGAAATCTGTGTAAGTGCTAAAGTTTGAGCTGCTTGCATGTGCATCTCATGCTGGGACTAGACCAGGCTGAGATGCTCAGCCCTGGGCTCTGCCTCAGCACCACCTGAAACGTGAGGACCCGGTTTGGGTCTCCATGGGAAAAAAGCGATCCTAGACCTCACCTTGGGGGCCTGCCTTATTGATGAGATTCTAGAATCTCTGCTGCCTGGGGCAGGTGGAGGCCAGGTAGGTACCAGGCCTGGTCCTGATGAGCAGGATAACTCTGGTTGCACCAGGTGTGCAGGGTGTGAAGAGAGTCTAGGCTTGGAAGAGGCAAGAACATCAGTGGGGGCACAGGAGGGGCAGAGGGATGAGGCTAGGAGGCTATTTCTTGTCCTCAAGCTTGGCTGGAAAGTGCTGAAGCCTGGGCCCCACCCCAGAGATTCTGGGTGGGTCAGTCTGCGGTGCAGCCTAGGCAGTGGGAATTTTTATCACTCCCGGGGAACTCTGTGTGCAGCCCAGCCTGAAAGCCACTAGGAAAGCTCTCCTCGATTGGCTTCTTCTAGGTCCGGGGTGTGTGTGCAGGTCCATGGGCACCTGTCCTTGGACATGTGGGGGGCTGAGGAGAAGAAGTCACAGTGGGAAGAGGTCCCCTCTGGACTGGCTTCGACCTCGCCTCTCTATTTTTGGCGGGTGGGAGCATGCCATCCCCTCTCATCTGGAGTGGAGCCCACTGGTCTGTTAACAAATTCTAGGCCTCAAATGTCCCTCCTCCTGCATCCCGTAGGCTGCCTGAGGTGGGAGGAGCTGTGGCCATCTCTTGGGGGGACTCACTCCCCAGGGCCTGCGAGCTGGGTGGGAGGGATGCCTGGAAGAGGCTTTGCAGACTGCTTCATTTCAGCTCCAAGGGCTCTGCAATACCTCCTGGATGGCAGTGGGGTGGGACATCTAAAGTGAAAGTCTGCCTTCCTCTTTTAAGGAATTGGTTTTTCTGAGATTTTCCCTGTTAGTTGGTGAAAATGACTATTTATTAGTGCTTAGCAATTTACAAGCAGTCAGAACATGGGGAGGATACGGCCCATTCTAAAAACACTGACAGTAGGGATAGGACTAAAGATGCACGCCCCCACACACAGATGCACACACACAAGACATGAAGACACACATACATGCACACACAGACACACAGACACACGTGCATACACATGCCCACACAGACGAACACACATAGATGCACACACACAACACATGCACACAGACACAGATGCACACACACAAGGCATGCAGACACATGGACACACAGACACATGTGCATACACATGCACACACAGATGCACACACATGAACACATGCACAGAGACACACCGATGCACACACACACAAGCTGTGCAGACACACAGGCCCATAGGTACACACACAGACACATGTACACAAGAGACCTAGTCCCTTGGAATATGCTGTCTCCATGCGGGCAACTCCTTTCCTACCTCCTTCTCTTCATGCATTCTGGTGTCCAACCAACTGATGAGTCAGTCCCAGCGATCATGGGGTCATCAATGGGGCAGGGATCTTCTCCCACAGTGAGCTGAGCCCTGCTGCACTAGTTGGCAGAAGGGCATGATCAAAGGAGGGGAGAGAGTGTCTCCTTGAGCTCTGCAGATCAGATCAGCTGCAGGGCCTGGCACACATGGGGTGTGGGTGTTGGCAAGCTGGGATGCGGTGGAAAAGGGTCAGGGCCCCAAGGAGGACAGGAAGGACCTGAAAGCTCAGCCTGAAGAAGAAGAGGTTCAGGGAGGGTGAGATGGGATGCTGGCCTCTGATGTTCAATGGCTTCCCTCTGGAAGAGTCAGCATGCTCTGGGCTCCACATGTAATAGATGCGGGCCACAGGGAGGCCAGAGGTGGGAGGAGATGCTTGGAATGCAAAGGGGTGCTCTGGGAGGGGTGAGCTCCTGTACCTGGAAGTGTTGGGGCCAGAGACCACAAAAGGCCCTCCCGAGGCTCTGTCCTGGGTGTGGCTGCTGGTACATGCTGGGAGACTCTCTCATCCAGATCAAGCCAAGAGTATAGGCACGGCTGGGCCCTGAGACCTGGAGGTGAGCCCTGTGATGTATGACCTACCGAAAAGGGAACTGCTACCGCTACAGAAGCAGGTACTACTGGGCCTGGTTGTGGCTTTGCTGGGATCCCAAGAAAACTCTTTCCCTCTCTGGGTCCAAGTTTCCTTATCTTCGAATGGGGTCACAGCTATGTTGAAGGGCTGGCACTACCACACAGCACCTAGCATGGTGCTCGGCTTACTACTGGCCCTGCAGGCCCTTGAGAAACCTGCGCTTCTGTTCCTTTTCTGGTGCCTCTGGCCTCCTCTCCCATTTCCTTAGGGCTCTGGGGACACTTGGCAGCAGAAAAGGCTGGAGCAGAAAACCTCTCACACGATATCGATCTGGCCAGCCCTGGACTCCAGACCATGGCGTGTGGGATGGCGGTACAGCCGCCTCCTTGGCTCCAGTTTTTATGGGGTTTGAAAGATCATCACTGACCATCGAGACAGGATGTCTGCCTCCTGGGCCCTCCTCTTAACTTCTGCTGCGTTCCCTGATTCCCACATCAGTCCTGGGAAACCCCCCATTCCCAGGTCTGACCCTGGGAAACCAAGGGGTGCCTGCAAGGTTGTCAGCTCTCCATCCCGGTCCTCCCTCAGCCACATATCTTGCATTTACAGAATCCGACCTGGCTGAACCAACACCCCTCCCTCCCTCAGGGTACACTGGCTGGTTTAGGGTATCAGGAACTGGGGCCACTGGGACATGGGCAGGGGTCCCAGAGGACAGCAAGAGGCCACCAGGAGAGATGGAGCTTTAGAGCTCTGGAGACCGCAGACCCATCTTGGGGTAAGTCAATCACTCAACCAATCAATTAACTGACCTGAAATATACGTACTGAGCACCTACTACATACGGGCTCTGTACTTGGACCTGTGCACTAACAATGTGTTTGTCTCATGGCACTCCGGGTCTCATGGGAGCAGGAAAAGCATATAAAGAATCAGCAACTATATAATCACAGTGTGATTGTGCACTGGAGCAAGGGGGCTTTATGCAGCAAGAGTTTCTAAATGGATCTGGATGGTCTGGGGAGAGCAGAGGAAGTAATCCCCTAGGAAGGGACATGTGTTGAATGTCAGAATCCAAAGGTGAACAGGGGTTAGTTGGGTAAAGAGGGAGGAAAGGGTGTTTCAGGCAGAGGGAACAGCAGATGCCAAGGCCCAGGGGCAGGAGGGTCTTGGTGTGTCTGAATCCCACGTATACTCCCTTGATAGCACATTTCAGTTGTAATTTGACATGAATTTGAAAGTAGGACAGACTAGTGGTCAAATGCATAGGCTATGGTGTCAGACTTCATGGGTTCAAATTCTGGCTCCATGCATACCTGCTGTGTGACCTTGGACAAGTTGCTTGACCTTGCTGTACTTCTGTTTCCACATCTGTAAATGTGAGGTGACAACAGTAACACCTAACCCAGAGGGTTGCAGGAGTTGAGAATTTGTATCTGTGAAGACAGCTCAGACAGCATCTGGCAGGTAATAAGTGCTCTATGAATGTTAGCTATGCCTATTTTTTTATGTGAGCTTCTTTTTTCTTTTTCCCTCACTAGACTGTCGGCAAGAGCAAGGCGCTGGGTCTGTATGTGTGAAGCCCCAGCACAGTATCTGGCCACTGGAAGGCCCTCGATCAATGTTTGCGGAGGGAGTGAGGTGGCTGCAAGGTCAGTGTGGGCAAAGGGAGCCAGGGGAGGTGGGGAAGGTTGGGCTAGAGAGGCTGGGTCAGCTAGGCAGGGATTTGTGGGCCACAGGAAGGTTGGGCTAGAGAGGCTGGGTCAGCTAGGCAGGGATTTGTGGGCCACAGGAAGGTTGGGCTAGAGAGGTTGGGTCAGCTAGGCAGGGATTTGTGGGCCACAGGAAGTCTCTGGTGTTTATAGTTGGAACAGTGGGAGTGTTTGAAGATTCTGAATCAAGGGGGCGGGGGATCCTGTTGGTATTTTGTAAAGATGACTGGGCTGTCAGTTTCATCATTAGTTGAACCCCAAGTATATGTCAATGTTATATTAGGTGTTTTATTAAACGTCATTTCATTCATTTTATAAAATGATGGTGGGACATAGGTGTGCAGCTAAGGAAATGAAAACTTAGAAGGATTCAGTGGTTTTCCCCAAATCTCCTAGCTGGAAAGTGCTATAGAAAGGGACTGAAGGTCTCTTGTTTTTGTTTTTTATAGAGACAGGGTCTTGCTCCATTGCCCAGGCTGGAATGCAGTGGTACAATCACAGCTCACTGCAGCCTTGTCCTCCTGGGCTCAAGAAATTCTCCCACCTCAGTCCCCTGAGTAGCTGGGACTGTAGGCGTGTATCGCCATGCCCCGATAATTTTTTATTTTTTATTTTTTTTAGTAGAGACAAGGTCTCACTAGGTTGCCCAGGCTGATCTTGAACTCCCAAGCTCAAGTGATCCTCCTGCCTCAGCCTCCCATAGTGTTGAGATTACAGGCATGAGCCACTGCACCTGGCCTGAAGATCTCTTTAGCTCTGTATCCGTTAGAGTATTAGTTCAGCTTCTACAACAAAGGCTTCAAACTACCAAACACTTAAATGTGGTCGTTTATTTTTCTCTTACTTGTATTATAGCTCTCCCCCATGAAATTGTTCAGGACCCCAGCGTCCTTCAGTTTCATCGCTCTGCCATCCTCAGTATGTGGTCCATTATGGCTGCCCAGCTCCTGCCATTACAACTGCATTCTAGTCAGTGAAAAACAGGAAGGGGAAGGTGAGGGCATGCCGTGCTGTTTAAGGATGTGGTACATTTACATTATATACATTGTTTCTGTTCAGTTCACAATAGCCAAAACTGTCACGTGGCTGCTCGGAAATGCCATTTTTATGCGTGCAGCCGTGAGTCCAGCTATACTTCTGGGGACGTGGTAGTAAAGGAGGAGAGTCTTGGGAAATTCCTGATCCATATTCCAACATGTGCTGGAGGGAAAGATTTAAGAGTTACATTAGATACCATACGGAGGGGGTATCTGCACAGCTCGAGTGCCCCTCTTTCATGGGAAGGGCCTGACGCATAGGGATGGCTGCCCGGGGCCCTGTCAGTGTATCGCGATATCTTGACTACTTCCTCTAGTCATACAGCGGACTGGTCCAGGGATGAGTACGTGACTCGAGTTGGGTCAGTTCAAATGCCCATCTGGACTGCAGAAAGAAAGAGAAAGCGTCTGGGGTTGGGGTGGGTGGCTGCATGGACTTCTCTCTGCTTGGCCTCTGTCCTGTGCTTACTCCCTTGCAAGGTCAATCTGCCCATTCCCCTGTATCTCAGGCACAGAGGCGAGGCCTGGGGCTGCAGGGCAGAGCTTCCTACGCCCCATGCGTGGAGTCCAGAGACTGCAGAGAGAACAGCTTCATTCATGGGGCTACCCAGATTAGATGGTGGACCTCTCAGGGTGACCCTGAGGACAAAGGACTGGATGACCAGGTGGGCCTGCCTCCATGCCTTGGTACTATCTAAGCTCCAGGTATTAGATACAACCTAAAGTTTCTTGCTAGTGCAGTAGAGAGGGTTGTGTGACGTAGAAAATAAACAGACATAGGAAGATTGCTGTGCATTTGCAGGCTGTGAGTCATCCTGACACAGAGGCATTATAGACAGAGGAGGGTCGTGGGTGGAAGCAGGGGAACACTGCTGTGTAAGGAGAAGGGAAGGAGGGGAGGAGAGGGTCCTATGAAGAAGACAGAGGTCTCAGAGAGGAAGAAGGAGGACGTAGAAGATGTTTTGATGATCAAGGAAGGTTAGAGTTTCTAGAAGGAAAGAATGGCGGGTCAACAGTCCAGCCCCCACCTTAGGATCAAATTGAGTGTGCCCCAGAAGAAGGTCATTGAATTGGCCACAAAGAGATTGTCCTTGTCCTTTCTGTGGGGTGTGGGGGAGGGGGTGAGAGCGACAGCAGCAGTGGGGGGCAGGAGGCTGAGGAAGTGGCTTAGCATGTGTCAGCCTCATGAAAGTCTCAGGATATTTGTAGAGCTGGTGAACCGATAAGTGGGTGGGAAGTAGACAGCTCTGAAGACCCTGACCCCCACCCACCCCAATCAACGTGTTTTCCTGGGTTTACTCTTTGCTTCCGTTAGTCACTTTGGCCAAAGTTTCTCCTGCATAGACATAGGGATGGGGAGGGCACAGGCCAGGAAGGAAGGAGATGGTGTCCCAGAAAGCTGAAGCCCCCAGGGGCAGCCTTTTAGAAGGATCTTCTGATACCTAACCTGGATCATTCCTGCTGCAGTATCAGCAGGTGTCAGCTGAGGAAGGAGAAGCCTTCTGTGAATAACAGTCCTTCAGAGGACTAAAAGCAGCTGAACTCTATCCCAAGAGGAGATAAGAGAGGTGGAAATCAGGTGAGAGCCGCAGCCGGGTGGAATTCAGGGCAGTGTCGGTGCTCTGTGTGTGCTGGTGCTGGGTTCCTCTTCTCCGATTCCTGCTCCAGGATCTCACCCTCCCCAGCCTCTAATAACCCCAAATCCTGGATTGGTGTTTGGGAGGCTGTGGCTGCGCCAGGTAAACAGGGCAGGCCGGGAGCCACAGCAGACGCTGGAGGGAGGGAGTCGGGCCTTCCACTGCATGGGTATTTGGGACCCACAGGAAGGGAAGGCAGGGGAGGCTGAGTTCCAGGTTTCTCTCTTGGGGTCTCCTCTCTCCTGTTTCCACTCTCCCCCTGTCTCCCTGTTCAGCGCCCCCTCCGCCCCTCCTGTCCGCATTTCCCCTCTTCCTTCCCTCCTCTGTCTCCTCGTTTCCCATCTCATCTGCCTCCTGTCTCCCAGGCAGCCTCCCCCAGCCCCCACCCCGCTGATGCACTTGTAGGCAGGGGGTTTCGGCTGGAGCTGCTGCCCATGGTCCTCAGGGGAGGATGGAGACCTCCCTTTTCAACAGCCTCTGAAAACAGGAGGGGCCTAAACATGGGGTGGGGAGAGCTAAGGCAGGACCCTGGGAGGTCCAGACGGGCAGGGATTCTGTCACCCTTTGGTTTTCTTCCCTACTGCTGGGCCTGTTAAAGCAAAGCTGTCACGGGCTGAGGCTCCCTCTAGTGGCCAACTTGGGGAACTGCCGCCACTCATGGCCTTCCTCTAAGAGGTCACAGTGGGCCTCAGGCTGAACCAATTGATCAGGGGCCTGAGAGGCACAATTAATAGACAGCTGGAAGCCGACAGTCTCCAGGCACTTAGAGGCAGGCTGCTTATTAAAAGCTTCAGTAGAGTGGCTAGGATGGAGACCCGCAGTTTCCGTTCCCATCGTCAGTCATCCCTCCTGGCGGATTGGAGCTGGTCCAGATTTTCTCAATGGCCACCACTCAGGTGGTCAGCAGGGGCAGGAGACAGAGAGGCCATGGTTCCAGGGTGTGACTCAGTGGAGGGGGCACTGGGCACACTGGGGCCTAGGCAAGATCCTTCCCCTCTCAAAACCTGCATGTCCCATTCTTTACCATGGGCCTTTAGGACCTGGGTTTCTCTGGGCTGCCTTCTCACAGCCCTGCATGGCCCATGCCCTAGTGCTTACTCCCTGGGTCTGCGAGGCCAACCTGCCCATTTCCCTGCAGCCGGCCTGCTACTCATCCTCTCCATGAAGCCGGGAGGGCAGGTGAGCTCCTCTCCCATGGCAGACAGTGCAGTGTTCAGTTCCATTGGACCTTTTGGGTGATTTGACCTCCAGAATTTCTATTCCACTCACCCTTGCTCCTCTCCTTCCATGTGACCACATTTCTGGAGGTTCCAGCCCCCGTGGAGATGGAAGCAGTTGCACCCCATCCTCTGGGATCTGGGTCAGAGAACCTGAAATACAGGCATCTTTATTTCCCAGGCTCAGTTATTGGACTTCCCTCTTTTTCAAAGTCCATGGCCCCCACAAAAAGAGTGAGCATGAGCATCACCTTTTCTCCAGGGACACCCAGGCTCTGACTTCACAGAACTGTCCCAAGTCTCTATGAAAGTGGAACTCAATCTGACTGATGGAAAATAAAATTAAAAAGTAAATAGGCCTCTTTTCCCTAAAAGGAGTGGTGATAGGTGCTTCTGCGGAGGTGATATCAAAGCACTGAGAAGCCTATTGGAAAACAAAGACAGTCAAACGCCCTCCTTTACCTATATGCAGAGCATGGGGGCGGAGTGCCTGGCAGAGCAGGATTTGCCTTCACGTCCATCCAAGATGGGCCCAAGTGTCAGCTTTGCTAGTTCCTCACTCATGTGGTCTGGGGCAAATTATTTGACCTTTTGGTGCCTCAGTTTCTTCATCTATAAGATGGGACAGTAATAACTAGCTGACAAAGTTACGTGGATGTTCATGATTCTGTGTGGAGAATACAGAGCCAGTGCTCATGTGAAATGGTGTGAGGGAAGTAACATTTACAGGCTGTCTATGACAGTGTTGGGCCCTGCATGAAATACACAGGATATCACTTACAAAAAACTCAAAAGGGTGGCTGGGATCACTCCCATTTCACAGATTAGAAAACCAAAGTCCAGAGAAGGTAAGTAGCAACTCTGTCAATAAGTGCCATGTAAGGACTCGAACCCATCTGTATCTGCGTCGGAAGACTTTGGGCTTATCCAGAACGGTGTTGATGGGGTGGAGGCAGGTGCATGCTGAGGGCCAGGTCCTGAGATGGCAGAAGTCCTTGTGAGATCAGATAAGAGTGGGACAGGAGGAGGGGCAGCAAGGATAGGCCTTAGAGGAGGCTCAGGGCCCGTGACATCTTGGTGACCGCCAGTCTCACTGCACAGTTAGCAGGTGAGGCAGTTGACAGCATTGGCCCCGGCAAAGATCCAGTGACAGAGAATCTAGGACAGTCACCAAGAGGCGGACGAGGGGTCTCCGGACTGCACTGGGGGGATTTCCAGGGCCTGGGCCCCGGCTGCACAGGGAAGCAGCAGTGCCACCTGAAGTGGGGATGAGGGGGTGGGAGTGAGGGCCGGCATGCGGCCTTCCTGACCAGCCCAGGGCTGGAGGAGGCCCCGAGACAGCACTGGGGGGTGGTTGCCTCAGTAGCTTTGAAGGGGCTGGGGATGCCCCTAGTTCAATAGGAGAAAACCTCAAGGGGACCCGTTGGGGGAAGGAGAAGCCTAGGGCCTGAGTGAGCCAGATGCCCGGCTGTGGCCCACGAGGCCAGTCACCGAGTGCAGAGCCCCCTCCTTCGTTTAGAAAGTAGAGTGGGGAGGCCACCTCCTTCGTGGGTCCGCTCTGGTCCTGGGCGAAGACCAGGTTTTAGGGATGGCCGCTGCAGAGGCATTGGAAGGGGGACGTCGCCCCCTTGTGGCTGCATGGCTGTGGTGCAGAGGACGTGCCGGTTGCTACCTCGGGCCTTGCAGGTTGATGGAACACTTGAGCTGGTGAACCAAGTCCCAGGCAGGGTGCACCGGAGCCAGAGGGGCGGCTTCAGGATTTGCTGCAGGGAGCGCGGCTTTCTCTGGAGATACTGTGGGTCTCTAAAGGTCCCAGGCACACTGCAATAGCAGCGATAGTGGAGACTGGAAGAACTAAAGGACACGTGCTGAACTCCCAGCTCCAGCCAGGCCCTGGGCCAGCCCTGGGGATGCAGGGTGAGCAGGACACCGTCCAGACCCTCCAAGTCCATGCAGGAGTCAGACAAGAGACCAGGAAAGATGCCGTCCCCCTTGCTGGGATGGAGGCATGGTGTTAGTGCCATTGCCATTTCTCCCTCTGGAAGGATTCCTGAGTGATCCCCTGGCCTCTCGCCTCACCCTGCTCCGTCTTTTTCATGTCAGGCTGGGGAGTTGGAAGGAGAAATCCAGCAAGTCGGCCAGCTCCTTCCATCTTCCTCTTCCCTCCGCCAGCCCGTTCCCAGGACGTTGGCATCCCAGTTTCCTCCCTGCCATCCGGCGAGGGGCCTGCCTGTGAGGGGGGGCCCTTGATTGTCCTGCACCTATCATCTCTGGGATGGGGGTAGGGTGTTGGTACAGAAGCAAGCTCTAGTGGCCCGTGATCTAAAGTCACGTTCTCCACTCAGCTCTGTCACTAATATTTTGATTTTAATCTCCCTGACTTTTGGCTGATATCTCAATAGTTTCTGAACTCAGGCATGGGAAGGCTCCTCTAAAGCCCCAGAATGGTGGTTCTCAATCAGAGGTGGTTTTGCTGCTCAGAGACCATTTGTCACAATGCTGGGTGGGGAGGGGTGTACTACCAGCATCTGGTGAGTAGAGGCTGAGAATGCCAAAAAAAAAAAAAAAAAAAAAAATCCTAAAAATGAGGCTGGGTGCGGTGGCTCACACCTGTACTCCCAACACTTTGGGAGGCTGAGGCGGGTGGCTCACGAGGTCACAACTTCAAGACCAGCCTGGCCAAGACGGTGAAACCCCGTCTTTACTAAAAAATATAAAAAATTAGACAGGCATGGTGGCAGGTGCCTGTAATCCCAGCTACTCAGGAGGCTGAGGCAGATAATGCTTGAACCCAGGAGGTGGAGGTGGCAATGAGCCGAGATTGTGCCACTGTACTCCAGTCTGGGTGACAGAGTGAGACTTCATTAAAAAAACACACACACACAAGACAGCCCTTCACATCAAGAATTATCCAACCCAAAATGTCAAGAGTGATGAGGTTGATAAATTCTGACCTAAAGCATAGGGTGTTATGAGGAATTAAATTAGAAGTACCCTAATGCAGCCTTGTTGGGGGCAGGTTGTATGGAGCGGGAGTTCAGCGAAGACTTCTGGAAAGAGATGATATCTGCTTTAGGCTTTGAAGAGAAGTTGAAGATTGCCACATAGAGAAAGAGTATCAAAGTTGGACACGTGCAGACTACCCAGATAGCGGGAACAGAATGTGCGAAGTCATGGAGGGTGAGAGGCTGTGATCTGCCTGGATGAGCTGGTCTGGGACAGGAGATCAGGCTGTGGAGGTGGGCAGGGGCCAAGCATGAAAGGCTTTGCATACTTAACTATGGAGTATGTTTTTATAAAGTATAAAAAGCACAAAATGTGTTTAGAAAAGTGCATACAACACTTGCGTATAGAAACGTAGAGTGCATTGAATTCTCAATTATATGGGACTGTTTCCAGCTTTTGGCTCTGATGAATAAAGGTCTATAAACATTTTTGTACTTGTATCTTGGTGTTCATTTTTGTGAATTTTGCTTTGGGTATAATCCTAGTAAGGGAATGGAGGGGTCATAGGGTGTGCATATGTTCAATTTTAGTTGATATTGTCAAATAATTCCCCAAAGCTCTTGTAGGAATCTACAATCCTCCAAAAGTGTAAGAGAATTCCCTTTGTTCTATATCTTCACAACATTTAGTGTGGCCAGTTTAAAAAATTTCTCTCTTCTGGAATATGTGTAATGGCAGAACTTTATTTTATTTTCATCATTTTGTTTTTTTTTTTTTTCAAAATAAGATTCATTGGCATGTAATTTGCATACAGTAAAATTTCACCATTTTAAGTGTAAAATCTAAATTTTTATTCATATATATTTGTTTAATAAAAACATATAATGTTTTCATCACCCCCAAATTCCCTCATTCCTGTTTGTGGCCTATTTATTCCTGCCACCTTTAGTGCCTAGTAACTACTGATATGTTTTCTGTCTCTATAATTTTGCCTTTTCCAGAATGCCATGTGAATGAAATCATTAAGTATGTAGTGTTTCAAGTTTGGTTTACTTTCACATAGCGATATGTTTTTGAGATTAATCCACTTTGTTCCATGGATAATCAGATGGGTAATTTCAAAACAGAGATGGATACTATAGGAAAAATCAAATGAAAATGCTAGAAATAGAAAAGATGGTAACAGAAATGAAGAATGCCTTTGATGGGCTCCTCAGTAGACTCAACACAGCTGAGAGAAGAATCAGTAAACTTGAAGACAGTGTAGTAGAAATTATTCAAGCTGAAACACAAAGGGAAAAAAAGAGTGAATAAAACCAGAACAAAGCGTCTATGAACTGTAGGATAGTATCAGTGAGCTAATATATATGTAATTGGAATCCCAGAAGATGAGAGAGGGAAAGGGGAGGGAAGAGAAGAGGAGGGAGAATTTCGACAAATTATAGTCAAATTCCCCAAATTAATGACGAACAGCATACCACAGATTCTAGAAGTTCAGGGAACACCAAGTAGTAGAAAAAACAATCCCCTCCCCCCAAAGAAAAATATGCTCAGCTTCTCAGTCTGTCACCTCTGTCTTCCAGAATGGGCTGATGCATCTAGAGACAATCAGATCCAAATGCCGGGCTCACCTCTTTGAATTTCCTTCCCCTCCTGGATCTTGGTGTCCTCATTTTTTACTGTTTTGATAGAAACCTAAATATCTTCAAGTTGATGAAAAACGTTTCACAGTTTTTCCTATTCTATTAAGCAGGAGAGCCAATTCAAATACTTAGTCTGCCAAAAGTACTGAAAATTAAAATCAAGGGAATCTTTTTTAGTTTTTTTTTTTTTTTTAAATCCTGGTTTTAGTTCTTTGGGAATTGCTGATCTAATCTAATAGGCTAAGACAGTTATATGTGAAATTAGCTTTTGAATCCTTGTAATAAAAGAAAATGATTTAGCTTCCCTATATTACTTTTATTCTTCCTTCTAATTTAGAGAATAAGAATATGAAAGTTTTTTATTTTTTATTTTTAGAAAGGGTCTTGCTCTGTCATCCAGACTGGAGTGCAGTGGTGTGATCATAGTTCACTGCAGCCTCAAACTCCTGGGCTCAAGGGATCCCCCTGCTTCAACCTCCTGGAATTTTTTGATGGTAAGAATAGTTGACTATATTTTTATTTAAAATTTTGCATGTGGGTCTCTATTTCTTGTTCCTTCAACTTCATATACTCTTTCTTGATTTCTTTTGAAATTATGTGTAAAAAAAACAGGCATCGAGTTTTCCCTTTATCTCTTTTTATGTATTTATTTTTTTGAGACAGAGTTTCACTCTGTTGCCCAGGCTGGAATGCAGTGGTGCATGATCTCGGCTCACTGCAACCTCTGCCTCCTGGATTCAAGTGATTCTCCTTTCTCGGTCTCCCAAGTAGCAAGGACTATAGGTGCCCGCCAGCACGTCTGGCTAATTTTTTGCATTTTTTTTTTTTAGTAGAGATGGGGTTTTGCCATGTTAGCCAGGATGGTTTAATTAATTAATTAATTATTAATTAATTTTTTGGAGACAGAGTCTTGCTCTGTCGCCAGGCTGGAGTGCAGTGGCCCAATCTTGGCTCACTGCAACCTCTGCCTCCTGGGTTGAAGCAATTCTTCCGCCTCAGACTCCCAAGTAGCTGGGACCACAGGCACGTGCCACCATGCCCAACTATTTTTTGTATTTTTGGTAGAGTTTGGGTTTTGCCATGCTGTCCAGGCTGGTCTCGAACTCCTGACCTCAAGTGTTCCACCCATCTCAGCCTCCCAAAGTGCTGGGGTTACAGGCATGAGTCACTGCACCCGGCCTATTTATTTTTAAACTTTTTATTTTGAGATATTATAGATTCACATGCAGCTGCAAGAAATAATACAGAGAAATCTCATGTATCCTTTACTCAGGTTTCCCCAATGTTAGCATCTTGCAAAACTATAGCACAATAATACAACCAGGATAATTACATTGATATAGCTGAGCTATGGAATAGTTCCATCACCACAAGGATCCTTTTTGATGCTCTTTTATAGCTATGCCCACTTTTCTCCACCTTCCACACCCTCCCTTAATCTATAGCTGCTAATAATTAGTTCTCCATTTCTACAATTTTGTCATTCCAAGAACATCGTATAACTGGAATCATACAGTAATCTTTCGGGATTGGTTGAATTGTGGGTAGTTTGCGTTTTTCAGGGAACTGGCCCATTTCATGTTAGTTGTCAAATTTATATGTGTAGAGTTTATAGCATTTTCTTATTTCCCTTTGATGTCTGCAGAGTTGGTGATGATATTCCCTGTTTAATTTCTGATATTGGTAATTCATGTCTTCTCTCTCTTTTTGTCAGTGCTGCTAGAACTTTGTCAATCATATTGATCTTTTCAAATAATTTATTTGTTTCATTGATTTTCTGATTTTAGTTTCATTGATTTCTGCTTTCATGTTTTAGTTTTTTTCTTTTAGTTGTTTTGGGTTTATTTTGCTCTTTTTCTTTCTGGATTCTCAAGGTAGGTGCTTAGATTATTATTTGAGACTTTTTCTGTTTTCTAACGTACGTGTTCAGTGCTACAAATTTTCCTCTTAGCATTTTTTTAGTTGTTTCCATAAAATTTGACATTATATTTTCATTTTAATTTAGTTAAATATATATTTTAATTTCCCTTGATACTTTTTCTTTGGCTCATGTGTTGTATAGAAGAATGCTGTTTAGTTTTCAAGTGTTTGGAGATTTTCCTGTTGTTTTGATGTTATTGATTTCTAGTTTGATTCCATCGTGGCTGGAAAATACACTAGGTATTTTCAAGTCTTTAAAAACTATTGAAGTTTTTTTTTTTTTTTTAAATAGTATGGGATACCTTGTTTTGTGAACACTTGAAAAAAAATGAGTATTTTGCTGTTGTTGGGTGCAGTGTTCCATAAATGTTGATTAGATCTTCTTGGTGAATATACAGTTATACTAAATTCTTGCTTATTTGCTGTCTAGTTTTTCTATTAATTGTTGAGAGAGGAGCATTAAAGTTTCCGACTATAATTGTGGACTTTTCTATTTTTTTAAATTCCATCAGCTTTTGCTTTACATATTTTGTAAGTGTGTTGTTTGGTGCATGTACACTTAGGATTGCTAGGTCTTTTTGGTAGGCTGACTTTTTAATCACTGTATAATGTCTCTTTCAGTTTCTGGTAATTTTCTTTGCTCTGGAGTCTACTTTGTTTTATATTATATAGCGGCTCCTTTTTCTGATTAATATTTATATGTATGATATATGTGTTTTCATCCATTTATTTTCAATCTGACTATATAATTACATTTGAAGCGAGTTTCTGGCAGCATATAGTTAGGTCAGCATTTTTATTCCTCTTTGCCAATCTTTCTCTCTTAATTGGTGTATTTAGACCATTTATATTTTATATAATTATTGATGTGTTAGGGCTTAAGTCTGTCATTGTAATTTTTGTTTTCTGTTTGTTTTTCCACTTCTGTTTTTTTCTGCCTTTCTGTGGGTTACTTGAACATTTTTTAGAATTATATTTTTATTTATCTATAGTGTTTTTGAGTACACCTATTTATGTACCTTTTTAAGTGATTGCTGTAGATATTATATTATAGATGTGTACCTTATAACAGTATAG